CAGAAAAGAAATGTTATTGGATTAAATATCAATCGATAATGATGCTGATTTAAAAGTGAAATAGATGACCGTACAGATGAGTGTCGTAGATGGTGATAGTGTATATATATGACATATGTACATTAAGAGAAACAGAACAGAAATTTTTATTTGTAAAAAACAGACGAAGAATAATTAAGGAGAACGGAATGGGTACATTTCATATATTTGCATTACTAAATTCTGCAGCGGTCGATCACCAAACTCTTGTCTCCACATATATTCGTGTAAATAAGAATCGAGGAGTGATCGATGAATGCCAAATTGTTTCTTTTGTTTGCATTTAGCTTTCATCCACGTGTTTTCGATGTTTTGTGTATGAACACCTGTGATTGGGTCGACAAAGTATCTTGAATGATTGACTGTGAAATGCGTATAGTCAAGGCTGTTTTGTAGGGATTGATATGCTCTCCATTCGTCGAAGTGGATGGTTGTACCTAAAAGAGTCAAGTGCTTGCTGAACTGTAACAGGACTATTTGTAGAAAAAGTACCTGGAAGAATGAATTGGTGTATTATTGGTAATAATGTTTGAGCATCCCGACGAGCAACTGGTACCAAAAAACATTTTCTGGTATCTACATCTATACCACCAAATACCCACTGCTGTGACGAAAGAAGCCTCCCACGCTGATACTTTCGTTTACCAAAACAGCTCTCATCAATTTCCACCGTATGTCCTACACCTAGAGAAACGATAAAATAAGTGACATAAAGAGATAATTCGGATAAATATGTTTCACTTACCACCAATTATTGACGGATTTCGCACATAATATTCCGCACAAACATCGCGACAAAACTTTTTCCAATCCACGATCGTATGTTCCGATCCAATATCTAATTCATGCATCAATTTGGCAATTGAATCTTCTCCTCGAGACCAGTAATACATAAGCTCGAATATTTGTGCTAATGAAAGACGGGAATGTTGGAAAAAAGTACCGGTTCGAATAGATTTTCGGGATTTACACACACGACAACGGAATGCATAACCTATAAATCATAGTCACTTATAGCGCGACAGATGACAATGTAGAATTCAGCTTACCATCCTCCGATCGACTAATGCGAGATACCAATCGTTGCAATTCTCACGACAAGATTCATCCGGTGCTGTTGGTAAAAGTTTTAAATCCTGCAGTAATCTAATTGTGCTTTCTTGTGATGCCGTTAACTGATGAATTCGTCTTGCATTTAATTTGTCCAGATCTTCTATTTTACATTGTACATTGTCAAAAAGTAAAACTTTTTATATAGCGACGTAGCTGACATTCAGGCCTGACGGTCTATGTAAAAATATTTTAGTTATCAGTAATATTCACCGAGGTAAAAGGATGTCACTATAAGCATGTGTCTCGAATTTTTTTCTTTTCTGTTCTTTCCTAGATTCGACACGCCACGTATTTTTTCTTTCTAATTTCGACACTTTCATACATATAGATAGGTACACTGTATATTTGAGAGAAACGTAACTTTCTAGTACAATCACTTGTTTAGATATGTTTCTATAATAACTCAGGTTACAAGAGGCTCGCTTGAGCAAATTTTTTCCTGTGCTTGGCCTAGTACTTTGCCCACTTCCACAAAAAAACGACTCGATACGTCCTTTCGTTGCAAAGTTATGGGACTCGAAAGTTGAAAAAACTTAATTTTCTGATGATTCATCATCTGAAAACTGAATTTTTGATTGTATAAAAAGATATAAAAAGGAAAGCAGCGCATCCTGTAGAGAATTGAATTGTGAATCTAACCATATGATTACTGTTCAGCTTTGTTTACTTTTTTTTGTTGTTCTTTGGATATAAGCATTTTACCAGCATCTTTTCCGTTTTTGTGGATCGACCTTCTCTTACAGTTTTTCCCAAAAGTCCGCCACTGAAGAAATTTTTGGAGTGGCTAAATTGTAGATCAGACGTCGGTCTACAACTCTATTTAAAAAAAAATTCAGTTTGCATAATTTGGCAGAGATAAAAACAGCTTTCATTCTTGTGGAAGTCAATTTCCGCTCTAAATGTAGACTGACTTTTTGCAACTTGTTTTGCTCAGAACTAACGAAGCATGCATTCGTTCTCGATGAAACTTCTACAATAGACAGAGCATCAAAAGTTGTACTAGCAAAAGTAATTTCAGGTCGAATCCTCATTTTGTTTCTTACTATTTTTACATTATAGGGGAAAATGTAGACCGACTTTTGTTTTTAACTAAATGTAGACCAACCTTTTTTTCGTGAGATTTTTGGTCAAAGCTACACGAAAACCATCAATACAGTACACCAGTCGACTCCTCAGGCTGCGACGAGTTTGACTACCTAACTTTTGGAGCTCTAAAATCTATAGTCTTCGTTAAGATAATTGATAATTCTGAAAGTAGAATCACATAACGAAATTCGGACTTTTTAGATTTTAACACTAAAGAATGAAAAAACTTTTCTGCGGTTTTTCGGCTTGACTCATTTGCTCACAGTCCCACTGTACTGCTCGAATCATTCTCTGTCGAACGATGTAGAATACATCTATTTCAACCCTTTTTCTAGCAAAATCCTGCCAAAACTTCTCTATGGCAAAAACTGAAAATTGTCTCCCTCCTAACTCAGCCAGTATGAGTCTGGCAGTTGGGAAATTTTTATAGGATACTCGGCAAAGACAGGGGAACAAAACGTACCATTCAAATTTTTTTTA